GTAGATATACTAGCTCAAGATGGGAACCAGTCTAAAGCCGGACAGCACAGAGTCTGGACATCCAGTAGCAAACGCCACACACTGAAGAGGTTTCTTGATGCCTCTAGCAACAGGCTTCATGCCTTACTAGGCATTGCTCCCAATTTTAGTGCCATCTGGCTGACGGGTTCACCTGGGCGACAGGAGCACGGAAGAGTAGGCAAGGCCGCTACTGAAGAATGGGGACCTTTCAGCATATTCCCCATGATAATAACATTGAAGTGTCGCGACTTGGCTGCGTGTCATTGATAGAGCCAGCTCGTTCCTCGTGGTAAGTATTGTTTGTGTCGGTGAGACGTCTGGCTCGAGAAATTTAATTCAACTCCGATGACCCTTTCAGAATGTCGTCTGTATTGCAATCTCATCCAGGTTAAAACAAGGCCACCTTGATTCGTACACGTTTGTGTTACTCTGATTGTGTGTGGTACGCACAGATGTGCGGTTTAGCCCCATCATTCAAGGCGCCCGAGTTTGCATCCGATCGCCCTGACGCTGTCTTCACCGGACCTAGATGGCTGAAGAAGTAGAGAGTACGGTGGATATTGCCCAAGCCTGGTGTCTATAAACTAATTCATGCACAAAATACCGTTCAGCATTCCCGATGCTGTGAGCTGCAAGGTCGAGCTGAAATCGGCTTATGTTAAGGCCATGCATTTACGCCATTCTGTCAGGTTCTCCAAAAGTAAAAAATAAGCTTTTTGTCTGAAGAGCAGACTAAATATATGTTTTCGTTTCCCTTTTACCGTTTTAGCATATGCTGAAAACGAGCTTTCATTGTTTTTTTTCTGGAGAAAGTTTCCTTTATGACCCCCTAAAAGAAAGTTTCTGCTTTTCTTAGAAAGTATGCCGTCGAAGTGATTTACGTTTGAGAAGAAGTAGATGCGACTCCTGGAACAAAAATCTTATTTGTCCGACGTTTCGGATTTACGATTAACCATTGCACGATTGAAGCTATAAACAGCGAAGTATCTGAGAGCGCCTTTTAGCTGCAGTTGGTTGCCGCATATTAATAACAGTTCATAGAAGGAGAGCTTCAAAGGCTGAGTCGTGTTTCAATATTCGACTTCTATTCGTTATGCCAGAACCTATGTTAACTGTGTCTTCCACACTTACGAACGTTACGATCTTGACCTCGTGGCTACCAGGTAGAACGTAAATGTCTGACGTAGCAATTTTTAACTGGCAAGGATGACTTATATGGACCCTAAACAGGACAGGGTAATACGAACACCCCGTCAACTTAAATAGGTGATATTTCGGTAAATTTCAGGAAGATTATTCTTGTGCATTAACCCTGGCATCATCCATAAAATAAACCTAAACTGTAATCTTAATCTTAATTCTAGCTGTACCTGAAACCAACAGTTAACATAAGGCAAAAACTAGACCCTTAAGGTATAGCAGACCCCAACCTCAAATTTAACCCTAACACCCAAATTAAGCGTAACTTATAGTACCTACGCGATGCAGTGCGTAATCCACGTTTATCGCTTCAGTACGCATCAAAGCTTACATATTTGCAGTCAGTTTTACGTCGGCTTTCATGACCTCCATATTTTCTCAATAACTGTCTGAGTCATCTGTCTTCTGGCCACCTTTTTATTTTCATATGAACGTGCCCGACCAGAGCAAACTGGGAGAAAAATACGTTTCTGGAATCAACCAGAAAATTTGATGTACGCAATAAAACGACAAATTTCACAGATTTGTCCATTAAGTTTACTATTCTATTGGTTATTCATGGTTAAATGCTTATAATACCATGGATCTTGTCTTTATCACTAGAGCCCCAGAAACGAATTTTACCATGTCTTTAAGGCTACAACTAAAGTGGTTTTCAGATATTTTGCACTATACAGTTGCTCTCTTTATCTAGACGGTTAAGATCAGCATTTTCCTCTACTTGCGACAGTCGATTTAATATCTTTTTGGCAGATTATAACCGAACAGCCGAAAATGCTTTTGAAATATTTAACCCAGCATCTCCGATTCGAAACGTTTTTTAACAGTAGATCCATGTCGTTTGGGCTGGGCCTTGCGGTATTCTCCTTGAATTAAAGGCCGCTTTGCTGGTCACGGGTGCGTTTTTCCTCTAACTGCGGTCAGTGTATTCCTAAACGCTGGTCATTTCGCATCCCCTCGACGTCCGTCGTAGTTCAAACGTCGTTTTCGAAGAGCAGCGTGGCGCGAGGACGGTGACCTCCGCTGAAACAATGTTAGAATAAACTTTTGATGCAACTACTTCACTCTCTGGTCCACTCCCACCTGTGCCCGGTGTCCAGACATAGTCAAGAAGATTCGAAAACGGTGTGGGAGGGGGGGGG